ATATACACAAACACAAGCAGCAATAAAAAAAATAGGAAAACTAAGTTATAAAAAAAATCAAAATAATCATAAAATAGATGATAAAATATATATATATATATATATATATAAACCTGATCATGATGAAGGGAGAAGAACTTTCAAACAAGAAATTCTCAGTCAAAAGAATTATGAGACTTTCACTTCAACATCCAAGGAATCGTAGAAATCAAGGAATCATCTTCGAAACAAATAAGACCCGAAGCATTGTTACAAATTTCATAAAACCACCATTTAAGCACAACGATAAGACCCTGACACTTATTGTAAACAGAAGTCTTAGTTTCAGAAATCTTCCCGACAATATGCAGAATAAAATAATCAAATATCTCATTACCCCAAGGATAGTCATTACAATCTTCACTATCAATGATAGCAAGATAGTTCAGATCAAAACCAACAGACAATTCATTACCCATGAGATAATTGGCAAGAAAATGAAGGATAGCAAGTTTCACAGCATCACTATCATTAGACTAACAACGAGATAGAAACTTCAAACGAATAGCTTGACGGGTAAAACGACCACCAGATGCAAAAAACTTATTAAACAAACCATCTTGAGGACACTGATATAACAATTTACTAGCAGCTCCAACACACTTTAAACCAGTAAGAACAGAAAACTCGCCAATTCCAAACCGCATTATCTTCCCACACATATCAACACATAATTTCTCTGAATTTTTTGAAAAACTTGTCTAAGAAGCACCAAATGCACCAGTTGAGACTGAACAATACCAAAAGGCAATTCAAAAAACTTCCCAAAGCAAGATTTTTTCAGAATTTCAAGTTGAGTTTCAGTCTACATGTTCCTAATTGTTTCAATCGTTTCATAACGATTAAAATTAGGAAACCTACATCCAATATTAAATGAATCTTCTACTAATAGCTCCCAGTCCTGTAAAAAAAACAAAAAAAAAATTATATTAAAGATCTCGAACTATATTAAACAAAGGAAAAAAAATAAATTACCTTCAGTTGACTCTGAGGAACGAGATTTTTGGATAAAAGAGAACGCTTATTGACATAAGATTTTTTCCATTTCATATATTTTTTCTTGCCTTCTTTCTCCACACGAGAAACCCTATATATTTTCCTCAATTTTTTAGGGTTATTAATTCCCCTAACTGATGAATCATCTTCTCCATCGGACACGAAATCGTCTGAATCAGTAGAATCTACGCTAGAAGCCGACTCAGACACATAATCAGAAGAAGATAATTCTTTAACTTTCTTCCTTTTCCCTTGCATTTTCTTTCTCGGAGAACCAGAAGAACGAGCAGGGCTTTTGACAGAAATTTTCCTTTTCTTAGACTCAACCACAAGATTCGAACATTTTTTGTCTGTTGATCTAGTTAAAACCATAGAAAATCTAGGAAAAAAGTCGCAAAGAGAAGAAGCAAAATACTTTGAAAACAGAACAAACAATTAATTGAAAGGAAGATAAAAAGTAAAAAAACAGTTGTCTAATAATTGAAACACAAAAAAAGACGTGCTATTTAATGAATTGAAAATAAAAATAATAATAAAAACTGCCCAACAAAATAAAACAACGGTTACAAAATTTTATTAATTAAAAATTTGAAAAAGGGTATATATGAAAATAAAAAAGAATAAAACTATCTAAATAGTGAAGAGATTTTTTATGAGGAATTTGCACTCCTTACCCTCATGTATGATTTATATTACATTTATACACTCAA